CTCCCCAATTCTCGTCGCGTATTTTATTCAAATTTTCTTATATTCTAGAATCGAGAAAGACACAGAACGATTTGATTCTTTCAATTTCATTACGCATTATTGCAATAATTTCTATCGTTACATTTAATTCTAATTGTTTAGCAGCTTTTCTGCTGCTATTGACTCTACATTTGACTGACACTTGTCGAATCGACCCTACATTTTTTTTTTTTACGTGGAGGTAGGCCGACTCTATGTGATAAACAATTGGCAACCGAACGGTGGCTCGCTAAAGCGATATATTATGAAATTAAATTAATCACTCAATTAGATTGTTTCCTCGACATGGCCATGGTGGTCATCATTGACTGAAGTGCCTCAAATGTTTAGAATAATTAAAATAAAATAAATGTTGTCAACTCATAGCTAGCTAGACATTATTTTCAATTGAAAAAAACAAATTATAAAGCATAATACTATAATCCTATGCTTAAAATGTATTTTCTTGTGGCTGCCTGACAGCAATCTGTAAATCTGGCGCGACAGTGAACGTGTTAATAAGTAAATGTTGTTTAAATTATATCGTGTTTGAGATCATTTTCATCAGAAAAATCTCATCAATATGTTAATAAAAATTTCGGGATAAAAAAACGTAAAATTAAAGAAATTATATTTTTCTATAATGATTTGTCGAGCCGTGAAATCTCGTAAAGGAAACCGACTGGTGTAGCGTTACACGCTTGACTGACTGCGAGCGAGATAACATGGGCGCAGAAATGACGCAGGCCTAGGCGTAGGACCATCTATACTGTCACTTGTAGAATCCAAACTTACTGACTCTTGGAGAGAATTCACTGTATTTTGTGATTCATTTTGAAAGTAACAAGTAGACGGTGCAATTTTCTTTTGCGTAAGGAATATTGTTTATCACGGTTTCGTTCGCGTGAATGAGTTTTCTCTGAACTAGATGCACGGGCGCCGAGCATTCACGTGTTGCTTTCGAAATACGAGCAACCGTAAATTTCAACGCTAACATAACATCAGCGCATTCTGTGCATATTAGAGCTTCAACAGCATTAACACGATAAGAATACGACCGGTGTCACACACGTAACGCGCCGCCATTATTCCGCTTATGATTCATTCTTTCGTTTTCTTTCCTACAATTCTACGTATACGCAGCTTCTTCACTTTGAACCTGTTCCAAGAACGCGTTTAATCACCCTATCCTTCCCTTTTCGCCATTTCGACGAAAATTTTCCTCCTTTTATTACCGTCTACTCGATTCGAGTGAAATACATTGCCACTTTTAAGTCATTTTCTTCAATTCGAGGATATTTGGACGGTTGGTAAACAATTGTTTCAATTTTTGCCAAATTTTATAAAAATTTGGTAAAACAGTGGAATTACCATCAAATGGTAAACTCAATTTGTTACATATCGCTTGAATGGACTTGATAGATGGTCACAGAGTGTGCCATAAATCAATCCCATGCTATAATTGGTTGCCAGTTGATATTTGATATTTTCTTGAATTCAAAGATATTTAGACGATTGGTAAGAAATTGTTTCAATTTTTGCCAAACTTTTGTGAAATTGTTAAAACAGTAGAATTACCATTAAACGGTAAACTCAATTTGTTACACATCGCTTGAATGGACTTGATAGATGGTCACAGGGTATGCCATAAATCAGTCCCACACTATAATTGGTTGCCAGTTGGTATTTGGTAATTGTGGACTTGACACACGAGAGATTTATTACGGACCTCTGCACAATTCAAGAAACGGTAACAGGAATCTATTGAATCTGTTCGTTCTCTAATCTACTCGAAATTAACTTCACCTAACGTCTTATTCTCCAAATTCGTTTTCATTCTGAGTAATCAAAAAATTCTTATTTCAGAGTATTTTAATTACTTCACGGTAAATATTCGAAGGAAATGTGAGAAGTAAGGTCAGAAAAATGAGACAACAAGTTTCTCTATTAAATTACCACAACTGTGAAAATTACAATTAAGTTTCATCTTGTTCGAACATTTTCGTTCGTTAACGGCACCTCAGCCGTTGACTCGCGTGATTCGTGAAAAATTCCACGCGATACAAGGGTATCGAGTGAATGAAAACCGTGATCGGCCTAGATAAAAACACGCTTCGGCTATAAACGAGATAATCAGCCAATTTGCATGATCGCGAGACGCGTGCCTATGTCGTCCCGCGGCTCGTCAAGCTTATTCACTTTCACCGTGAGTCAAGTTGACTCATTCATTGCCATTCGCCGCGTGATCAACTCGGAAATCATTCTGTGACGTCAGCTGGTCACCGCAGATTCTATAGAAGACGACATGACGTCGCTTTTTGGTGGTTTTGTCACGCGCCAAGGTGTATCGGTGAAACCTGACAAATATCAGCGGTTCTGGTAGCTCGAGAATACACCGTTCAAAAGATAATCCACAGAGATTTTTTACGAAAAGTGTCGTTTATCTAGTTATAGATGTAAAAATAACAACAAATATACGTTTATATCTGAGATTTACCAGGAAAAGTGTACATTTTCAACGATGTATGAAAGAACAGATTAAAATAGCGACTGAAAAGTAGCAGTTCTGACGAAATTATTTCGCTGTTTAGTCCGTTCAAGTTTAATTATTAAAATATTTCTAATACTACGTTAAATATTAATTGTACAAATTATATTTCAGAAATATTAAATATTTCTAATAGAATATTACAAAATACACGTAAAATATATTTTTCCCTTATTTTCATTGCAAGTATGGCTAAACAAAGTCACAGAAAAGTGGATAATTTTTATATCTTCTTATTTTACCGAACATCGAAAGGGCTAATTAACGAAATTTACAAATACAAGCCCTACAGTGACGTTGTAGACCAAATAAAACAGGAACTTGGTTAATTAAATCCGAATGATTTGTAGCCACATAAGATTGATAAACACCGAATCACAATACTGAGAATTGCGATCGCATTAAATGGCATTTAAAGTGCGACAGGGTGAATCTAATCGTGTTCTACTAGCAACAAACTAAATCAACATTGAAAGACTTCGGCTAGCTTTATTTATTGACACAATGCCGATAGATTTAGATGAATGGCTCAATTGAAATATTGAAGCAGCATTATGAAAAGAATTGCCACCTACTTTATAGGATAATGTGTTTTACTTTGGTCCAAATTTCTTTCACACCTCTTCTAGTATTGCATGCTAATAATTTGATTAGATAAAACATTGTACATTGTGTACGTATCACGTTTGTCTATTAAATCTATTCATTCTCTAATCTACTCAAAATTAACTTCGCCTAAGTGACAAAAATTCTTATTTTAGAGTGTTTTAACTCTTACACCGAAACATTTGAATGTAGGAAGTAAGGTCAGAAAAATTCGATAATAAACGTATAAATAATGTGAAACATTTACGTAGAAAGTAGAAGAATATCGTTAAGTTACCGAAACTTTGAAGATGATCGTTTCAAAAGACACGCAGAATTTTCTTTCAAAGAGCAAACTCGTAGAAGGGGAAACGAGGAGGTACGGTGCGCATATACCACAACGAGACTGCTATATCACCCTTTTGTTCCCATGTCTTCCGTCACTTTTGACGAGGTTTTTATTACGGAGGATGCTAGCACAGGGTGTCCGTTAATTTCTCTTAATTAAGCTCAATCGAGGTTAATGCACCGTAGTTTGACCCTAGTTTACGAAATCCAGCATAGTCTGTATCCAGCCTGCACTTTCCTTCATCTCTACCAGGTACTAGTTTATTTTTAATTATCGAAATTAATCATCCGGATTAAATAGGCTAGTACAGATAAACTTTTAAAATCGAGTACTCTATTAGGTGTAGAAATGAATTCTTTCCGATTGGATTCGCATAATTGATTCAAAACCACCGAGTTTCCAGAGAAATGGCGCGAAAGGTCGTCGACAATAGTGAAAATTATCAGCGATCAGTTTTCATTTTCTTCGAATTAAACTTTGATTTCACTCAAAAGCGGAGCGCGTCTGATATCTGTCTGTTCTGTACGTAAAAATAACTTCAATTGTATCAGAACTATTTCTTCGAATTTAAGAGATATCTAATTTAGCGAAACACTGAAGTATCGACTTAATACACTTTTCTTCGGTATGTTAAACATAAGCGTTGGTAGAGCGTCCACGGGAAACATACATTATTCATAATTTCGATGCAATTGAGACACATCTTTCCTTCTTTAACAACCAATAATCGCTCGGAAAGGAAGAGATTAGTCGGAACGACGATCTTTACAAGCAACTTACATACATCGTCCTCTGTAAATCTTCTAGATGACCCAGTTCGATCGGATAAGGGACACCCTTACAGTGACCTCATAAATAATTATGAATTCCATCAGTCACCTTTCACTATTATCATTCGTCCAATTTGCATCACGTGTACTTCTCTAAAGAGCTTCTCCGAGGGTGAGAAAAGTACACAGGATAAGAGAGGACGTTTTAAAAATGGTGCAATGTGCAAAAATGAATAAAAGATGTATAAAAAATGAAATTACACGCATTCGGAAAATCTAAACTTTGTCATTGGAAATTGGTAACTTGTGTTTATCGCAATTTACATGCAATTAAGTTACAAAAGTAAATCCTTTTTTCTTATCTTTATTTAATTGGGAGTTGAATTTGAAAGACTACGTTAAGAAAGTAAATTCGAAAGTAATTAAGAATTACTTAATAAATAGACGATTAATCAATTTTTTTCTTAACAAAAATTGAGAAAGTAAATTAACCTCGAATAGACGATAAAGGCCACGCAGGACAATTTAGTAGCACCGTTTTACAATAATATCTGCTGGTACTTTCCTAGAATCTTTCCTTCGTGAAAATAATTTACTCAACGGTTATTCTTTGTAACAGGTCTCGGAAGTGGTCGAAATCGAATGAATCACTAGAAACGAACCAAAATTCGTCATCTTCGGAATGGACAACTTTTCCACTACGTGGTTATTACGTGCTTCTGAGAACAACACAGAAAGCAATCGGGAGATAATCGATGCCGAGCTATCGAGGTAATTAAAATTCTCTTAATAGCGACGAAATTATAGAGAAACTTATTGTACTGCAATTAACTTCCATAATACATTTTCCAATATCGAATAAATGTACAATATTTATGTGAAAAAATGCCTATAGAGTAGATAATAGGTTAGATTAAATTATTAATAAGAATATACAGAGTTAGGAGATAGATAGCCAAAGAACGAGTGTATGAGTGACAAGATAAAATGGAGCGCGAATGGACAAGGAAATAATGTATTGTAAACCAAATCCTTTTCGTAGCCATGAGCCTGAAAATAAATAAATAACAATAGTAAATATATTATATATAAATTTTGGAACCGTCGAATTTCTGCATCCTCCAGGTTCCCCAAGACGCTGAGAACATTCGCAGCCGTAGTTGCAATTCTAATTATGATCGTTGGCCTTACTGGTAATTTGCTGACGATCATTGCACTGTGCAAGTATCCTAAAGTTCGCAACGTTGCAGCGGCCTTCATTATCAGGTATGCAACACGTATCTCTGCAATGAAAAAACAATTATTTAACATTCATTTAAACGATTAAGACTTTAGCAGTGGATATCAGCTCACTTAACTTGTTACACACTTCGAATAATTTTGGCTTCGTTTAATTCACATATTCTACTGCGTTATTTTAATAATGCATCTAAAAATAAAACCAGATGAAAATCTGTAACTAAAATGTAACTTTTAATATTTCGTATTAATTAACGGAGAGAAATTTGTTAATTGAAGTTATTTCAGAGATGTGGAGAAAATGTTCATTTTAATTTCGCAATGTAAAAGTTGAAGAAAATGAAAAAAGTAGGATCGAGATACTTCCAGATGATTTGATTTTGGTGAAAATTATTTCAGCCTCTGTGTAGCGGACTTCGTATTCTGCCTTCTCGTACTGCCATTCGATTCTATCAGGTTTGTCGACGCAAGCTGGGCGGACGTACGATTTCTATGTGTCCTTGTACCTTTTCTAAGATATGGTAACGTCGGTGTGAGTCTCCTCTCTGTTGCAGCTATCACTATCAACAGGTACGCATCAAATCGACGTGAAACATGTTACTATATGTGACGATGCTTCTTCGATAGAGCACACTTCCGCGTTACTTTCGTGGACTGGAGTAACAAATTGCTTCCTTTGTCTACTCGTTGATCTGTGGAAAGTCAACTTTATTAAATAAAGAAGAAAGTTCGTTAAATAGCATTATACAGGGTGTTCCAATTTTTTTCCAATCAAACTTTACCAGTATGCTCTACGAATATAAGAAAAAAATTAAAAGTTACAGCAAAAATATGTATAGTCGTGACAAGAATTGATTTCTTATTACAATAGAGTATTAAAAATAATACACCACTTGAGAAAATAGAAAATTGAAAATTGAAAATATTTGAAATTGAGCGTATGCAGGGATAATCAGATCAGAAAATTTGTGTATTTTAGATACATCATGATAGCTCATCATGGTTTGTACAGCAAAGTTTACAAGAAATATTGGATCGCCTTTATGATTGTATTCTGTTGGATGTTTTCTTATGGAATGCAAGTGCCCACCCTATTAGGAATTTGGGGTGAGACATGATTTACATATCGACACAACTGAAACGAGCGTTAAAAACATCAGTATCTTACTCTTTTCTTATCGTTCTTTAGGTAGGTTCGACTACGATCCAAATCTCGAAACTTGCTCGATCGTTCGGGACAGCAAAAGTCACACGTCGAAAACATTCCTTTTCATAATGGGTTTCGTGATACCCTGCGTAGTGATCGTTGGTTGTTATACTAAAATATTCTGGGTAGTACACAGGTAATTCGTTTCACATTTTATCTTATATTTATAGTTATAGTTCCAAAATTAATTATTTCTCGACGAATACGCGAAAGAATTCTAACTTGGAATTAGACTAAAAAGCAGGAAAAAACGCAGTTCGAGAAAAGGACGAAAATTTTCGATTTTATTTGTATTTCAATATATTAACCGTTACTTTTGTTGTTCACAGCTCCGAAATAAGGATGCGAAAGCATGCAACACCAACGATCAAATCTCCCCATACTCCCGGAAGAGATACCAGGGAGATAAAACAAAGACGTAGCGAATGGCGAATCACAAAGATGGTTCTTGCCATTTTCCTCAGTTTCGTCGCTTGTTACCTTCCAATCACTATCGTTAAGGTCGCTGACGGAGAAGTTAAATATCCAGGTAAAGCATTTAACCAACGAACTATACAGAGTGCAGCCGAAGGTATTGTACAAACAGGCAGCAGATGATTCCTCGTGCAAAAATAAACAATAAATACACCGTAAAATTTATCCAGTGGAGGCTTAATTTTTCAGAAAATCAGGTTTGAAAATCCGTTGCAAAAAAAGCATGACAAACGACAAAAAAGAGACACTGAATCCCAAAAATTTCGTACTTCGGTATGAAACAGACAAATTTCGCTACCTGCGAATATTTCGCGTTGGTCTGGGGAATCCCCCAGTTCCTTAAACCCACCGGATCGCCAAAATCACCGCAGCGAAATCGCAACAACTTATAATAGAAAATAAAATAAAATAAAATAAAGAATAAAATCTTGTTTGTTCCCATAGAATTTCACGTTTTGGGCTACCTTCTGCTCTACTTCGCATCCTGCGTGAACCCGATCATTTACGTGATCATGAACAAACAGTACAGGCAAGCGTACGCGGGCGTGATCGGATGTTCGCGGATAAGGGCAAGTCTGACTCCGTACGGGAGCAGCGCACCTGGTCATCTTCATCATCAGCAGGACTACGGCCAAGGTAACTTCGAGCACCGTCGCGTGGTAACGCTCACCAAGCTCTGACCAAACGCGGGCTAAACGACCACACTACGCTCACTTCGTAAGTCAAGGGCACAAATTCGCTGCTTTATGAAATTGCGATCGGTCCAATGAGCATGCCCTTCCCCCCTCTCATTCATCATGCATCAATTTCATTGAACGCCACAATGACATGTTGTTCGCTGTGTTCTGTATATCTCCAGTTTCAAGACTTCGTTTTCTTCTTTAAGTCACACTCTCAAGTATTTTCTCGAAAGGGGAACTCTGTAGAACGTATTTGCTAGAGCGTAGAGTTTGCTTGTAGAGATTAGAATTAACTAGAATTTTAGAAAACTGAAAGTTTGGAAAGTGGTACACCTGTAACATTTACCTGAACGAATTTTCCCCGAGGATATCATTTAACAATTGTCGAAGTGTTTCTACATGCAATTTCACTTCAGTGTTCGAAGTGTAGAATAGAAGAAAAACAGAGGCAGAATATCGACATGAAATTAACCATAACCACTTTATGAATCATCTTGTGTGTTCGTCGGTCTTCCTTATTAACTATTTCCTGCTTGCTGCAACGCCGCGACCCCATCGATTGATAGAGCACGCGAACAGAACAGAATCGTCGCGTTAACAATTCCTCTGAAATTATACGATTTTCTTTCGTAGACTACTCGAAGGACTTCAGCAAGACGATGGTCTCGACAGTTTCCATCGCCATGAATCCTGTGAAAAATTCTCATCTCGATGAGGAACCCTGAGAATCTTTCGGGATTTAACTGTCCACACGAACAAGAGGATATTGTAGGAAAGATACGATCCACCCTTAAAAATAAAAGACACCTTGTATATTGGTTAAGATTATATATAATTATGGTTGACAATTGATTATGGTTAAGGGTGGTAGTATATTGTACGTATTTACATCGTATTACCCGCGAATTACTTCCGCAGAATAGGAAGAGAACGTGGGATTGAAGGAGAAGCAGAATTGAACGAAGAAATTGTATGATAAAGAGTAAAATAAGTTATTCGTCATTTTTCGTAATTTAAATGTTAAAAAGCTACATATATATAACGATTTAACAGGATCAGACGCAAGAGTCGTCGAATTTTTACCAAAGGTTGTACACGTGAATATACGAATGTATTTGTACATAAGAAAAAAAAAATGTGCACGCTAATTTTGGTTACCAGAGTATAAAAATAAAGTTTATAGAGCTATCGAGTGAATTCTAAGGGTGTTTATAATAATTTTTAATGTTACGAACTCGTTTCATATTTATTGAATATTCTCCTTGGTTAATTTAAAAATGTGAGAATAATGTTGAAAATTGTAAAAGTACAAATTAAATACACTTTAACAATTTAAGGTTAACTCGTTGTTTCCTACTTTCTACGAAGTCCTTGCTCCCCCATTCTCACGAATACATAATAAAATTACTATTTATCTCGATGAATGTCCACGATGCAAAATGTAGGTAATTATGATTGTAGATGTGAGAAAATTGACCAGCATTTTAAAATTACCATCAGTCGTTAAATATGATAAACTATGTTATCCGGAACGAAACGATGCATTACGAAATTCAAGAATAATCATTCCAAATATCTTCAAAATTCCAAAATTTTCCTTACATTATTTGTACTAATTGTTAAAAAAAAGAAAAAAAGTAAATCTTTCGAATCCTTATCTTCAGAGTTTCAGAAAACTGATCATAACTTGCAACATCCGGTATGTTCTCGAATCGTAAGTTTGTCCCGTAATCGGACAGACTCGCAAATTCCTCCGTCGAATTTAATTTTAAGAACGTTTTCCACTAAATAACGCATCGCCACATCTGCAACAAGTAGAAAACAAGTGTCGTCGTTAAAACAAAGGTGATAACATTCGCCGTTACGATTTCATTTTTCCTGCAACACGGTGCAGTTACGTAGAAATAGTGTGAAACGTAATTGTTATGCTTACCGATGTTTGTATTTTCTTTGGCAGAGGTAGCAAACCAAGCGCCGATATTATTTTCCTTGCAGAACTTGGCGATTTGTTCGGTTGAAATGGCGGGACAAGGAATATCACATTTGTTCGCCAGAAGTACCACCGGTATATTCGAACCGTCTGGAAGGGTAAGTTTTTCCCTCAGATCACACAGCCACTTTCTAATAGATTGGAAAGTTGCTATCCGCGAGATATCGAAAACCAAAGCTGCGGCCACTCTGTAACATACACGATGCTGTGTCAGTTTGCAATAATGTTGTTTTTCTCGTGTATGCAATACGGAAGAAATAATCAGTGGAATGTAATTTCACGAATATGAGAGTACAATGGGATCTCTTATAACACAATAAAAAAAGAAAAAATAGGACACAAATTCTGAATTTGGAATTTTGGAATTTTGGAATTTTGGGTTAATTAAATTTGACCCAAAAAGCGACGTCGGTGGAACTTCATTTGTATTATATTTCCCGCGTTACAGAGGATCCCACTGTATATAAAGAAAAGTGTTAAAATTTGCTAATTACTCACGCATATTTGTAATAAACTCTGGTCATATACCCGAATCTTTCGTGACCAGCGACATCCCTAGACACGAAAATTAACGAAGATATTACAATAATAATTTTTAACGTAATACCAAACGCTTTGATATTGTAACACTATAAAGTCTCACTTTCAATACTCTTGTTGAATAAACATGAAAAGGAAATATCGTACGCTACCATAGTTGTAAGTTTATTTTAGTAAGAGGATCCCAATCGAGCGTTTTTATGGCGAAGTCGGCTCCTATGGTAATCTTGTAATTCGACGTATACCTGCCTGCGAAAAGAAACAATAACAACGACGTGTATTGTACGTAAGTACGTACGACCACAGAATGATAGACGTATTTTCAAAACTCAACGAGTATCTTTACACGCAATTCGTAATATTATCAACTGAAGAAAAAATGTCGCTCGTGCTTGGTGAAAACAATAAGCAGGATATTTGAATAAGAATCTGAATACTTCATTTATAAGAAGAAAAAGAAAAACACCGGGGGAGTAGAGATAATATGCATCGATAACCTTCGTTCAAGATTAAGAATACATATTTCGCATTGTTCCTTTACAAGGAGATTAAGCAAATAATGTCAAGAGTGAAAATAAAAGAAAACGATCGTTTGCGAGTATTATCGATCGTACAACAGACGCGGCACATGGTAACTTACACATTCCAAATAGATAAATCCGCTTATATACTTATGCTTCGACTTTTTCATTTATCAATCTCTCGCGAACATATTATACTTTCCTCGTAGGTTAAATATCATAACCAAATGTATTAATCCACTTTATTCAACTGTTTATTATTGAAATTCATGATAAATGATTTTTTAAAAAAGCTTCTTTTTAGAAACTTCAGTGAAATATAATTATCGAAGCAGATTTCCTTTCATTGGCTAGTTATAAAACTTACATAGACTGGAGTATAAGTGTACTGTTCGTTTACGTACCTTCCGTGTATCTCCTGACTAACGCAGTTTTCCCTAAAAATAATATAGAAAATATCATTCGCTATGCATCACAATAAAACACGTAGTCTATGAAATTCTACGTTCAACTACCCCGCACAACGGTTACAAACGAAAGCTGTGAGTAAATTGATTCAAACTAAAACGACGCGTCGATTAGGTAGCGCCACTTTATCGAGAAAAAAAAAAAGAAAAGGAAAGAAGAAAGAAAAATAAACAAACGGGAATGAAAATGTTCTCGATCGATTCGTAGTATTTGAATAAATTCATACTAACGGAGTAAATTTTCGAATAGGGAACTATTAAAAGCAGCCTCGACGCACCAACACCATAGTCACCGATTACGAGGAACTTGAAGAGGAGCTCTTTGTGACCGAACTTCGACAAGAGCACGTCCGAATCCCTTCTCGGTTTCATCTCCTACTTCTGACTTTGTTTCCCCGTTTCCTATGATCCACGCAAAAAACACGACTCGCGTATTGCTACTCCGCTGGTAAACTAATCAACGAAAGAGACAACAGGCTCGTCAGGCTCTCGGATGTTCTTCCCGCGTCTCTCGCCCTCCCCTGATCTATCACCATTCAGCACTATCGCAACTCTTATTGTACTCACACTGATACATTAAAATTACCAAGCATTGAAACGCTCGATTCTTTCTTCTGTAATTTCTATCAGGAACGAAGCAAGCAGCTGACGTTTCTTCTGTAAAACTCTTCTTCTTCTTCTTCTTCTTCTTCTTCTTCTTGAGCTTCCTAATAAGTATTTCATACGAATGAGTTTTCTTATCTTTAATACACGCAAATGTATCCCCAAAGTTATTGACGAGAAAGATAGTAACATCGGTAGGCAATTTGACACGCACTGTCGATAACGTAAACTATCGTGAAACCACAGACGAGGTTACATATGTACATCATCACACCGTGGACGTAATGGAAGAATTCTGGAAAACGAAGAAGCAGCAAAAAAGGTCATCGTCGAACCAACTAACGAACATGGATAGAAGCCTCCACTTTGAAGACCTATTAAATCATACGAAAAGGTAACTGACGTCGCAGTGAGAGATAGAATGGAGTAACACTGCTCTCCTTCACATTAACAACCTCATTGACGATACCTTCCAACCCAATTCAAAGACCCGTGTAAACTACCAATGATCCAGCAAGTAGCAATATCCAGGCTCAGAATCGGCCACACGAAAACCGCCCACTCGTACAAAATATTCAAAACACCAACACCTTCTTTTCACCAAACGTAACATAACAATTACAGTAGATCATTTGCTGCTTCACTATTCGAAATACGGAATCCATTGCAACCACTTCAAGATCAACACACCGCTAAAAAACAATTTCAACAGAGGCAAGATTGACAGCTTCGTCTTTAGGAAACCAAGTTATTGGTAAAGATAATGTAAAAGAACTGATAGTCGCTAATAATGAAGCAGTTGATGCGACTCAAATTAAAGAAAAATGATTCATTTGTTTGTCCCACGTCAGGGGGGATGTGAGTGCCCTTACCATTTGCGTATCGCTTCCAACATTACCGATTCAGCATAGAATCGTCAGAATTAAAACCACAGACGAGGTGCAAGATAGATTTTGCATCTTATGGGACTTTTTTCTGAGGTTTTGGGGTCGAGAAGACCCTTACTATTTTCATGTCACTACCAACGTTATCGATTCAGTATAGAATAAGATTACAACATTAGTAGTAATTGAAATTGGAATTAAACGTGACTATGAAATTACAAATAAGAAAGTAACGTAATTGTTTATTAGTAGATGATTCATCACATACGCGTGTTCTATTGCTGTCAGAAAATTGTGAACAATTCTACCTACGCAATCCTAAATATGTATGTATCTTTACATCTCTCGATTTTACCATCTTTTATGGTTGGATTGTATGTAATTCCTAAACTCACCGCTTTATATCGTAGAGGGCATAACAAAAACTTTAATTATTTAAACGATCGGTATTTTAGAACGTCGGACACGAAAATACATTAGGTGCAAGGTCTATTCTGTACCTCGTCTCTGGTCCTCTGATCTGTTTGTTTACGGTAAATACCAAATTTACAAAGGAACTGATAAAAACTTGCTGATAAAAACAACAATGCGGTTGCAGAGATTCACAACGCACATACAAGAAGTTTAAGAGAAGGTTTTTTCGAGAAAAAATTCCGAAATAGAAATTACAGACTCGATGATGAACTTCGATCTGTAGAAGTTTACAAGGCGCATTGAGAACTACAAAGTTGAATAAAATTTAACTGCTACGATTGAGTAACTGTTGGAAAAACATAAAGATGTATGTGAACGAAACAATACAAAATTTCATTATTTAAAAAAAAAATGAAAAAAATTATTATGCTACTTACAAATCGATTTAATAGCGTCAAGACAGCGTAACAGTGATTATTATTATGCTAATTAGTGCAGTCTTTCTTGTTCTTGGGTTAGTAAATTACGACTATTATTAACCAAAATGATTTAAAGGAAAAAAGAACTTAAAAAAATAGCTGCAGTGTGTGCAGGCGGGATTCGAATAAACGATTCTCGAATCGTGACGCTAGAACCTTACACGTTTCACCGCCACCAATTCGCAAAAAAATATTGAACAATCAAATATATATAGAGTTTACCAAAAATAAAAATTGAATATAGTTTTAAATAATTTGCATTAGACAAAACACTCCAATATAAATCTACTTAATTTCTTACTTAATTTAGTAAAAATGCAATGATTCTACTTAGCAGTCGTTTAAACGACGAAGAACCCCGTTATAGAAATTACTTGACTTTTCTAGTTAACTTACACACTCGTAAGAAATTTTTAATTACTAATTAAACTGTAATTTTTACATTGTATATGTCAAAAAGTATGTACAAGGTAATGAAAAAACAATACCTTAAACCTTGTCATCAAAAGATGGCTAGCTGATCATTTATAAAACTGTCAATATTTATAAATAATTTGCAAGATTGAAGAAATTGGGATGCGTTTAAATTGAAAGGATAAGTGTCGAGATGTTCTATCTCATATACGTGTTCTTATATATTATATATATACATATTTCAGTCGGCAATTTGATACACACACACAAACACAACGCGCGCACGCGCACACTCTCTCTCTCTATCCTTATCTGTTTTCTTCGAATGTATACAATATAAAATGCTATGACCTTTTCGTGCAATGGTTCATGCAGCATATATGCATAAATCGCTTCGTCATTAAAATGTACACCTCTACGTAGTATCTGGTAACACAATAACATATTACTAATATGATTAATACATACGGAACGTATTTTTCTTGTAAACATGAACACCAGAGAATATTGTAGAGCGTATATTATTTTGCGATAAAGAGATTCTTGTCGCATACAATAATTAAATGACCCAACGATAAAACAAGGTCTACAAAAAGTCTTGAACAAAAACTTATCGGGTTGCGCCCAGTTTATTATTCCAAATAAAGCGATCTTTCAAAGCAACCGCGTATCAAAGTATAAAAAACAACAAAGCTTTAATAAAGGGTTTGAGTCGCGTGACATAAGGAAGAAACGATAGAATTGGAAATTTAAGGCACGCCAGAATTAAAAATGATTGTCAATTACTGTACAGCGAGTTCGTGATCGTAGAATATACTTTATTTAGAACAATAGCTGGGTTTATTTCACCAATAAAGATATGCAACAGACTTTTGAGACATTTAGATAAACACTCGCAAGTACGGATAAATTTTGGCTCGTCTACGGTCATCAACGTCGTTTAGATCTGTTCTCCAGTGACATCACGCACAAAACAAACTACATACGATGAGACAAGCTTTCGATTACTGTCCATCAATGACTAATTTCATGACGAGAATTGCACGATCGTCCAATGGCCATTGATATGGCCAAAAATATTCTTTTTGTTTTTTGTTTGTTTGTTTGTTTGTGACCACTAAATCAGTAACGGTAATTGTATGAATAATAGCACTGAGTATACA